GTCATGCCTGCCTACAAGCAGTAGTGCTGAGCAAAGTGACTAGAAGGCAACCACACACTTTATAAAGTCAGGCAACACTAACCAGGCTTCGTGTGATTCTGTTTAATTGCACCTTACTTTGACCATCCGTTTGCTGTTATTGATCATTGTGGAGAGCAGGCAGACGTTTTGTTTTGTATTATAGCAGCTATTGGATGGAATCAATACATGGGCTGCACAGGTTGACATGTCCGACTATCACAAGTAAAATCATAATGAAAAATACGCCGGTAAAATGTGTCTGTAGAAAACGGCTTATGCCACAATAGGATAGCAATAGCAAGTAGTCAGTTTACCCTCGGTTGCTAACATCACCCATTTTATACCAGAGACACTTTAATAACAGCGTTGTGATGCCAAACAGCGTCAATTCAGACTGACACACATTTAGAGAGGCCGCTCTAAAGTATTAGCTAGCCCGGAGCTAACGGGAGAATAAATTCCAGTGGACGAGCAGCCAGCACTGCAGCGGTCGGTAAATGCAGCTGAAACACATTAATAAACAATGAACCACGGCACTCTGGAGAAAAGTATAAGCTTGGAGAAGTCGTTATTTTATTTAATCTGACTTCGTATGATCAAAAGCAACACGATCATCGACCCGACGCAGTCCCCCGTTGTTGTTGTTGTTGTTGTTGTGAGCGCCGTTGGGGAGCAAATCAGCGATGTAAACAGTGACGTCACCAGTTGCACCAGTCGGGCTCTGGGCGGTGTGAACAGAGCGGGAGCAGAAAAGGGAAACCGGAGCTGAACCAGAAAAGCTCTAGCTCGGAGCTAGAAAGGGAAAAGCGCTGGTGTGAAAGCCGCATTAGATGCTTCTTATGAGACTTGTGTTTTGTTTTGGTAAAAATGGTTTGTATCGTCAGTTAGCTGAGATTATTCCCGTTAATCTGGTATAACACATTAATAGGTTCTTAAATATTAAGATCCCCTGAGACACAGTGTCGTGAAAAAAAAAAAAAGTACCCGCCGACGGGGACCTTGGGGCTTAACAGAAGATTACCTGTTTAAGACTAAAATCCTGTGCTTGGACCCCGATTCCAATTACTCTGGACTAAAGAAACATATGGGACATTCAAAACAAATGACTATATCCCATCTCTGAAAATAACCCATCCTTAAGCACCCAAACTCACTGTTATCAACTCTGCAACATGAAAACTGCTGAAAAAATATCTAACTTGGCAAAAACTACTACATTCAACGGACAACAGAGAGCTTTAGTGCCACTTTTGGCTGATTCACTCGTGTTCACCTTGGAAACGGTGACTGCAAAAATGTTGTGCTGGCGCCAATAAATAAACAAAAAGCAAAACCACCAGCAAAACCCAACAGAACTACAATTCATACAAAAACCACAGTGTGAAAGTGTGTCAAGGTTACCAGAGCAACAGAGTGAGTGGAGAAACCAGGGTCCTAACAGCTCTCACAACTCACACATCTTTTTATAAGAAAATGGTGTCACCAGAAAGAAAACAATCTTTAAAAGGCAAATAAAAGAGATGTCAGAGAAGGCACAAAAGGGAAGATATTATTGTATCAGTGAAGCTTTGTTATCATGCCCCAGATTGTAATACATAGCAGAAACATTTTCATGATCGACCTATGAGCTTTGCACATGTAGTGTGAGTTCTTCTTTTATCATCTCGTCTTTATCTTTTCTTTTGGAAAAAGTGTGTTTAGTTTTACAAAAGATTTAAAAACGAGAGAAAAATAAAACTATATCAGAGACCTGACATTAACATGAGTCATGCTGCCGGTCTTTGAAAGGCTGTGCTCCCCCACACCTCCTTATCAACATCAAGCTTTGTAAAACAAATCCTCCCCACCCACCCACAAATACTTCACCCTCCCCCACTGCAACCACTCACTTTAGGTATAGTAGTTTTAGACCCCAGCCACACGAGGACGATAACGCAAACGGACCGCAATCGTTATCAAAAAAGTATTCCGTCCACACGCAACAGGCACCAGAAACGTGTCCGTTCACACCTGGTTCACACGAGACCGCTCAAAAGCGCTGGAGACCCTGTAGTACATAGGCCAGGCCTGTAAGTCGCACTGTGCTCCTACCACAAAAGCAGCGAAGAAGACTTCCTGCGCATGGTTGCCTCGGTTGCCCTTCTGTTCATTCTCCGCTGTGGACGCTCTCCGGCTCTTTTTCTCCCTCCTCGAGGCAAGCGTTTGCTCCTGCTGTAAATTTCTCCGGTTGTCCACCAGCAGATGAAAAACACCCACCTCTCCGCCTCTTCCAAGGGACGAGGGGACCATGCGGAAGAGTTTCAGTTCGATTTTTTTTCGCCGGTCAACATGTCTGTGAAAGTTTAAATCTTCTGGACAAAATTAGAAAAGTGCCAGTCAAAGGTCTTCTTTGTTATTTATTGAGCTTTAAAACAAATGAATAACAACTCTATATAATAATATAAGAATAATCTGCTGATCTCTGAGCAGGAGAGGCGGGGCTATTGCTTCAACGTTATCAGGACATGATCGTATAGGCGTAAACACGGAGCCGTTTGCCCCCCCAGAGCTTTTCGTTTGCAGATCTTCCCACCTAGGGACCCATTATCATTTTCTGCGTTTCCGTGTCGGCCTCGTGTGGCCGAACCGTCTATCTGATAGAGAACTGTAGCAGATACGACCGTTATCATCCTCGTGTGGCCGGGGCTTAAAAAGCTTGTCAAGGGTTCAAATTGTCAACATTCATGTCTGTCTGTATGTCTGTCTGTCTGTCTGTCTGCCTGTCTGTCTGACTGTAACGCAGCCCCAGCAAGATTCAGTAAACAGTTTATACAACAGTACCAATAAATAACTGATGAACACATTTGAGCAGCTAATGACTAAATAACAAATAGTCACCATCTCTGAATCAAGGACTAGATAGATATTGAAGTAATTTTGTGATCAGGTAACTTGTGATTGTTGATGCTTGCAGATGCTCTCATTTTCCTGCGTCAGGATTCATTTACATGTCTTACATCCTGAATGAGCTGATTGACTATCATTTTGTCTCCAGGGTAAAACAGCCTTCACGATATGCTTGAATTGATATACAGAGTATTTAAGTTATTTCTGAGTTATTTCTTTGTTTGCAGGTTTCACAGATACTGCAGCATTAAACTCAAAAAGGTAACTAACCAACTACACAGGAGACACAAGTTGGGCTTTTATATCAAACCAACAACTTCCTGTCAACACAGAGACTACGGATTAATATTTAGCCCAGACTAAACCACCCGTCAAAGCTGGATCACTATTGGTTTCTATTTTTCAAGCGTTACAAAAAAAAAAGTCCAGAAAGCTCTTACTCACGGCATTACCATTTACCATACTTTAATGTTGCTGAAAATACTTGTCAACCTTACACGAATGCAGAACTACTTGTCATTATTTGTTTACAATGTACTTCTGTTTCCTTAATAAGTAAGAGAGCTTTCACCACAGCTATTTTTAGGTAAGTCAAAAGGACTTACTGAGATAATATTAACCGACATTTTAAATTGTTGTCGCAGTGTGGGGGGGTTTGCATGTGGCGGGATGCCAGTTGCCGTTGGCAGCTGTGTGCACTTCCTCATTTTCCATGAAAGACTGTTTAACACGTGTCAGCTTTGTTGAGTAATTGTGTGTGACAGAGTACATACGTTTAGTCTGAGGCTTTTATCCATAGAATAACATAACAATAACAGAACTTGACTGGCAGCCTAATTCTGCACTGGCCCCATGTTCTCTGAGAAATGAAGTAATGTGAAGTGAAATGTGTGGCAACTGTTGTGCTAAATGTAGGGATCTAAAAATCCAAAGTCACCATGGAACTTTACAATAAATAGTCTTCTAAAAAGGAAAGGAGGCAACATCTCAAAAGCCATCTGCTTATCAATTTAACCTAATTTGTTTAGAGAGAATAAGCCAATGGAACCAAGTAACTAAATTATCGTCTGCGAGCTGCTGATCTGGTTTTCATCACAATATGCACAGACATACTGTTTGTCGGGGCTTGGCACACTATGAAGCTTATTGTGTTTTTCAAGACCGTGTTTAAGTCAAATCGAAATATTGTGAACACACACATCTTTGTTCCTACACAGAAATGATTTGGATTGCCATTATTTGTAAGGTGTTCCCGTTATTCTGACAACACCTTGTACTTTCTGACAGCTTTTGTGAAATCTGGAAGAACTGGATGATGCAACACTGTGATGTTGCACTTCAGGATATACTCAGGCCTCCATGTAGAACAACAGGAGCTTCCCCTTCTCACAGGAAGACTTTGAAGCTGTGTGTGTTACATTTCAATGTGCTAACATGATGTCAGATGGTATTACATCCTACACATGTTCCGATCATCCCCTCCGCATCCGGCACAAAACACATAACAGTAGCAATAGGATGAGTTGCTGCAGTCATATAAATGAATTAGTTTCAAGTTTATTTTGCTTGCATTTCACTCACTGGACAGGGTTTGAGATTAGAGTAGGAGCAAGTGTAATATGCGAATAAGAGTTGAGGGTATATAAATAAACGTAATATTTTGTCTAATAGCAAAGTGAGGCAAGTGTTAAAACCGCAACATGTATGTTAGGTAAGCGACAGGCTCTCAGCAAAGAAACGCATCAGTGTGAAAATATATTCAAATACAACACACTAAACCCCCCCCCCCCCACGGTTTAACACTGCTATTGTTAAAACGAAAATAGCACAATAGGGCCTCTTTAATGTGTATGTAACTGTACATTTGGCCAAACGTATATTCAGTATATATATATATTCCATATTTTGTGTTAACATGAATGTGAAGGCTGTACATTACTGCACAACATATAGACCACGAATCACAGCAATAACACATATCAAATTATCTAGTAACTAATTTTAATACATTTTAATTTATCAAATGTTACAATTAGTGCTGCTGTCAGAAGCTTATATAGTTTTCCATACAAAATGAAAACAGGCATTTTTAGTAATTATCAAAACATTAAAAAAAAATACAATACTTGGCTTGTTAAAGTAAAATGATGTTCTATTAAGACAGATGCAGAAATTGAATGTGGAATTATCTAGTAACTACATTTTCAAACCTTGCAGTTATATAGGGCTATATTAAACATATTCAGTTGGCATTTACACAAAGCCAGCACTATTTTATCACCACAAGGTTCAACCAGAGAAGGGATATAGACCATGACTTGTAAAAAGATCCAGGAGTTTGATGCAAACATAAAAACAATTAAAAAAGAAAACAATTAACAAGCAAACTTTTGTAAACATACCAATTTGCAATGAATTTGTAGCATCACACAGGAATCAATATGCTTTTGTAAGCCAGACACTGTTTCCAGCTGCACAGAGAGCGTTAATCTGAACACAAGTAAACAGAAGGATGTCCTTATCTCTCATAACTGTCTACACCTATTTATAACAGTTGCAGACCATCTGTCAACTGTTTCAACATTGCAAATGTTAGTCATTACAAACACCACTGAGAAACCACACGTTTGGATGGCAAAGGTGAAAAACTACAATATAAAACAACGTGGCAAAATGTAACATTAACTTACGCAAGAGAACAGAAATTGAGAACTAAAGTCGTTTAGAAAAAAAAGTGTCAAACATGTGTATCTTTCCTCATTAAATTCAGAACGTTTAAGAATCAAGGCTTCAAAGAAAAGCAGCACGATGTGAAGGGTCATAGCTACAGAAACATTTACACTTTGATCATTTGTTTGACTAACTGATGAAGGGCAGTGTGACAAAATAATATAATTACACCTCAATGCCAAACCCTTTTATTGCAATGGATTATATTTAGTAAATAGCATTACCAGGCTTCCTGTCTGAACTGGTTGTCACTGTGAGGGATCCCATCTGTCTGTGGATTAGCTTTATGAAAACAAATCACACACATAATTGACCAAGCCTATTGTCAGTGACACAAAGACGACCACTGTGGTACATCTTTGTATTCCACTGCTTGTGACAGACCGAGTGGTGTAAGCCCTTTATTTACGCCCCAAAGCAGCTACTGTGTTTTGGCTGGCTTTAGAGCAGTAACACAGAGGCATCGGTTAGAGGGGGAAACATTAAACCCTTTGCCTCTCCAGTGTTAAAATCCCCAGCGACAAGGCTTTTGAAGTGCTGAGCAGCCTGGTGTTTACTTTGGTCTAGGGTCGACTCTCAGGAGCGAATCCATCACAACAGGGGCCTTCTAGTCAGTTTTTGAAGGCCCCGTAGCGGCTGGCTTTGCTAATGAAGTTCTTGAGCAGGTCGTGGTCCATGTCCGCAAAGGCCTGGGTCTGCGTGACAGCTGTTAGGTGGTTGACGCAAAACTTGAAGCAGAACTCCTCCAGGTCCTAAAAATGAAGAGGGCTGTCTGGTCATTGCTGAGGAGTATAACTGACTAGCTACTTTGAGGGGCCCCACCACCAAGCTGTTTGACTGTGTGTCAGGAGCTATGAGCTTACCCGCGCCTCATACTTGACAGCGGCAGAGAGCAGAGTGACGGCGTTCTCCTCAGAAATGCCTCTCTTGATGGTTTCCTGGCACAACCTCTTAAGCCTCGTCTCTCTGTAGAACGTGGCCAGGTCTAGCAGCCCTGCACACACAGGAGAAAACACACAGGTGAGTGTGTTTCTGCACCGACTGTCAGAGTGGAGAAAGACTGAGGAGGGCCATGTCTGTGTGCTTACCAATGGCATCCTCTGGTGGAAGGTTAATAGTGTCTGTGTAGAGGTACTCCAGAAAGGCTCGGTACACCAGGTATGAAAACTGGTGAATTTCTAACGTATCCTCATCTGTTTCATTAAGCAGTGTGCGAAAATGCTCACATCTGGAGAGGGAAGAAAAGCAGCTGACTACTCCAGTTACTTCAAACATTTATAAAAGTGAATTAGCACGTTTTAAAACGATGTACTACACATGTGTACTTAACACTACTGCTATTATGCAAATCATGCTGTAGCAAAAAAAAGACATTGAAAAAAAAACAAACAAGGTTTGCATTTATTTGTTGTCAAATGATTTGACCTTTGTGAGATAATGCAGTGCAGTTTTTACTTGCAACAAATCATATTTTGATACGATGAATATTATATTTTGCAGGGAAAAAATAAAAGAAACCTGGTACTTGAGGTTCACTGTGATCGATCACACAACTCAAGCAAGAGTCTGCTAATTCAATGGCTGCCTATAAAGAAGTTAGGGTACCTGCAGCTTTGTTTAGAATCATACAAATAATTGTGAATTAAAACTCTGGGCTAATTTTTTTAAATACAAAAAAGATAGAATGAAAATATTTTCTATTCATGTTTGCGACTATTATTGTTCACTATTTTGTCTGATTTGGATAAATCCTGTTTTTCACTGATACCATTTTATTTGAATCTGAACACGTTTCCCCCTTAAGTGCTTATGTTGTTTTTGTTAACATACTGCTTTATTACCATAACATCGTTTTGAATTAAAATTGAAAATATAGTCATGTATTCTTTTGACCTACCATAAAGTTCTATCTTAATACAATTTTTCCTCAACGCTAAGACACTGCTTCCCTATCATTTCTTCTCAGGACACGGTTAAATAAACAACTGAATCTTCATTCCCGAAGTGCATCTCAAACGTGTCATTTGCATGTGATCTTGCCAAAGCACGCGTTTTGCTCTATTGCATATTTGTGTGAGCGTGTGCACGAGGGTTGAAGTCGCAGACAGTCTGGCTCCTTCCTACTGACAGTGCAAAAGAGCAAGCGACTGGAATGCTGATACTTTGTGTCCGAGTGTGGTTATAAAAAGAAAAACAGGAAACAATAGGTCTGTCTCTGCTCCCCTGTGACATTAACAGGAAAGACGAGGAAACCAGATGGAGTTTACATATAGGAAACGCAGCATTCAGTGTGCAACATACATGTTAAATGTTATAGAAAGATAAGTGTGTTTGCTATCATCATGGCTGCCCTCTTAACATAATGATTTCTCAATTAGGTGCTTCTATTTTTAACAATCCTACAGTTCAAGATCAAAGTAAAATTCCTACTGTGGTATACCAATCGCATGTATCACTCATGACCAAGCACGACCTCTGAATGTGAAAAATACACTCATGTGACCAAAATGAAGTCAGGGTGGAGAAGCAGGCTACGCTTTTAGAACAACAACAGGAAGGTAGTCTAAATTCAATCAAATAATCCAAGTACAGCTCAAAATAGGCAACATATTGTAAACCTAACCAGACACACACCAGCTTCTCAAAATGTCATGTGATCGGATATTGACAACTGGATTGTTGTCGCTAGTTTTAATTAATTTACACTGAGTTAATATGGCGCAAAAGAGAGAGAAACTAAAAGTAAATCTGAAGACACTAAAAAAGGTGAGACAATAAAATATTCATATATAAGTGGCACTGGTAAACATTTTCTGTGAACTTTGAGAGTGGTTGTTTGCTATACCTGATTTTCAGCAGGGCTTTGTGAACATGGATACACTTCCCATCAACCAAGAACTTTAGGTCTGAAATCTCTGGGCTGTCAAATTCCTTCTTCAAAGACTGGGCAACCGTCAGGTAGTCATCACCGTCTGGCAAGAATGAAGAAAATACATTTTGTTTATAAAGAACAAGTAAATAACAGACAAAATACTGTTAAATTACGCCTTCTTTGAAACTAAACTAAATTAAGCATTATGTCTATTTTACAGTCCTTAACGTATGTAAAAAAATTATTTTGTTACAATTTTCTTTTTAAATAAAAATGATGCCTTAAGAGCCCAATGATATGAATCTCTCTAGTTTCTGTCTTATTATCGAAAGGAAATAAACACATTGCACTGGCTTCCTAGTTAAACAGTCTGTTTCAGAAAGATGTTATTAACTTAAAGAAATTCAGGGTGAAGAAAATAAATAAACATCTGAGTTGTGTTCAAACGAGATCAATTGGTTAACACAAGTGTTTGAAATGGAGAGGAAACGGAGCTTCCTGTTTATTCTAAGACCACTTCCAGGAATGTGTACCTATGACACACAGGAATGCATTGTGTGCTTACCTTTAACCAGTAAATGGGACAATGTCAAAGACAAAAAAACGTAGATGTTTTAGTAATCCTTTGGAAATGTGTTATTGTTAATATATGTCTATATTTATTTCCCACTAACACTCTTACCTACTGAGAGGAGGTGCCACGTGACGGCTGGTGTGGCGAAGCAGGCAAACACATCGTCCGTGCTGCTGAAATGGGTGAGGTGGGGGCTGGCTACAGCCTGACCCCGACACTGACCCCACATCAGAACCTGCCCGCTCTGGGTCTTGGCAGCTGACGTGTGGCTGGTGTGACATGCAGCCACCTCCACCATCCTAGTGACACAAGCAGAATGCAACACTTTGAGTCCTCCCTGTCCAGACTGTATGCTGAAATATGTCTGATACAGATGCTAATAGGGCATTCTACCATAACAAAAATAAACAGCGCATTACTTCTGTTATTACACCTCAGCTATCAGTCTCTTATTACTCTATGACAATGGGGCGCAGAGGGACTGCACAACGGTAAGGCAGCGGCTCCTCTCTGTGATCATCCAGCAGGACTGTATGCTTATTCGACACAGTGAATCATACAGAATACTACAGTTCAGTACTATCAAGAACTTTGGAGTCTCAGGCAGTGTACTTTTCTGTGTGCACCTCATACCTCAAAAACCGTATCTCTGTGGTAACGTGGAGACGGTCGAACGATTAAGTGCGCACCTCTGTTGTTTCCGACTCAGATGCAAGGATCTGGTGTGACTAGATAAGCACTCTGGTGCTTCACAGCGAGCATCGCTGAACAGATACTGATGAATGTTTTTTCCAACATCCAGAAGTGGAGGATAAATCCCCTCCTGACCCAGAAGCGACGACTTCTGGTCCAGGCTCAGTGAGTCACACCTACACTACGGCCAACTCTCTCCAGTGTTATCAAACAAAAAAAAAAAAAAAAAAAAAAAAAAAAAAAAACAAAAAGTGGGGTCTCAACGGTTTTGATCACCATTCAATGTAACAATTATTTCCGCGAGGCCAAACACATTTATATGATCCATTATAGTTATAAAACAATAAGCAGAATAAATGAAAAACAGCGTACTGAAATACTAATATGCATGTAAAACAAGAATAAAGTTTAAAAGGGGTTGAATTTGTAAAATTATCCATAAAAGAAAAAAGTAAATCTGTTTACAGTTCTGCTTTTCATATGGTGTTGAGAGAGTATCCATAGAATTCCCCTTCATTTTGCTCTCAAAGTGCACCAGATTGATGCTTTTAACATTCAATAATTTAAAATAAATCTTCCCGGGGGAGCATCCCCCCGGACCCCCTATTGAGCGTCCACAACCACCTATAAAAATACCCTTTACCTGCCTTACACCTATATGCCGTGAGCTGATTATCGAGCCCTTCATTGTAACAGTTGGCGGGTAC